TGCATGTTATTTTAACACCAAATTCAGTATTAAAGTAACACTTTTTATTCAAATTTTATGCGAAGCTCTGATGGATGCATCTATAAAATGAGAACAAAATGATCTTTTCTCTCGGCGATATCCCACATTATTGCTACTGCGGCGGATTCACTTACAGTTGGTCTTGGTCTTTCTCCACTTACATATTCCCAGGCGTCGTTTTTTATAAGGGGAGCTTTTACTTTGAGCTGACAAGTATCGAAGTTCTCTTTTTCAAGGTTTTCAATTCGCCAAGAATTTACAGAAATCATGGAAACTAATTTCTCCGAAGGCCCGCTTCGCTTCGTCTTTATAAACATACGGATGAAGCACGTGAACAATAAATACATTAAAAATTAATTTGAATTTCAAATAATAGATATAAATGTCTAAACGTCATTCATACAAAAACTATTTAAAAAATTCACACAAAAAATCAAACCTTAAAAAAATTCATAACTTAAATTCTAATCCAAATAGAAACCAATTATTATATTCAAGTTATAAGCAATTAGAATAAGAAAGAGAATTTTGAAAATGCCGATTTTCCGAGAAGAAAAGTTTCCAAGTGTCTAAAATATGTTATTTATAGTTGAAATTTATTATTCTTGAAAAGTCGAAAGTGAATAATTTCGCTAGATATAGATTGTATTATAATCCTGTGAGGCTTCCTATTTGTAACTTCAAAGAGCTCTTCCCAATAAAGCACACAACTCACGTTCTACATTGTACAATATGGTACGTGACACAGTGGTCTTGCTGCGTCAGATCTTGGAATGTACATCTTATTTGGTCCGATAAGGATGAAGTTTACCTCCTTCATTAGAAACTTGATCGTAAATTCAATTAAGTCAAAAGCAATAAAAGTCTGTTTTATTAAATGTGCCCGCCAAACGTAATCATTTTAATTTCAACAATTTTTTCATTTTCTAAATCTTTGATTATCGTGTTAACCTTCGTGTAAGATACATGTCTAATTTTGTGGCGAGAAAATCTCTCGCGCTATATTACATCCGTGTCAAGATTAACTTAATCACTACTGTAAACGATAGCAAATTCCTCTTAATACTCTTATTTTACTAAAGTTTTAGTCTTAATTCAATATATACCAATATTTAACAAATTTAAAATTCCCACGATAGGCTACACCAACATGGAGTTTCAACTTTTCCTTCAAACCTAACCAACAGGACCATCATCAACACGTGTTAAATCCATTCGAACATAAAGAAGATTCAAATAAATTATATTCTGGAAATTCTCAGACAATATAAACAGGAAAATTTTCCTTCGATTTCATTCACCAGCAACCACATCGACAAACAGTAATTTTACGCATGTTCTTACTAGCGTCCTTTATATTTCTTTAAAATAATCTTCCTAAAATCTACAAAAAGTAAAACAAATTTCTCTATTTATATATTCTGCTAATTAATATTAAAACAAATTGAATGCCTTAATAAGCGTCTAATGTCCCAATCAACTTTAACTATCTAATTTTAAATTTTATGTAAACTTCTTTGTCTTAACACTATATACCAGAGAGGAATTTTTAACAATCAACCTATTAATCAAATTATTTTATTATATTAAAATAATAAAAAAATTAAAAGATAACAAATAAATAAAAAAAAAAATTTTTCCTTTTAATACCCGAGTCGAACTTTTAGACCTGCTTACCTCCTGGTAAGTATAATTTAACCCTAACCTGCACCTAACAAACCCTTGGTGTTTTTTTCCTACTGCGTAAGTTCTATTTAACTCTGGCAACTCCTTTTTAAGTCCTAATTGAACCTTAAACCCTGTATTGCTTCTACAATACATATTCTTACAATAGGAAATGTTACGCGCGGAACGAGATATACAACTTATTATTGTTATGCAAATTACAAAATTTTTATTTTGAAAATTTCACGAAAGAATTCAATTAATTTCTAAAATTTTAATAAATTCTTCCAAAAAATTCAATTATTTTTATAAATAGTAAAATACTTCGCAAGAATTCAATTAATTTTATAAATAGTAAAATTCTTTGCAGGAATTCAATTATTTTCAAAACAATTTTAATTGAATTCCTTAGATGAATTCAAATATTTTTAAATATTTTCATAAATTTCAATTAATTTCTTAAACTTTAATAAATTCTTCCAAATAATTCAACTATTTTTATAAATAATAAAATTCTTTGCAGGAATTAAATAATCATTAATCCAATTAAAATAAAATTAAACGAAAGAATTTAATTATTTTTAAAAATTTACATAAAATTTAATTTCAACAAGAATTTAAAATTCTCTAAAAACAATTTAATTATTCTCAAAATATTTTTAAAAAATTCTATATAAAAATTAAATTACTACACTGAGAGAAAAGAAGGTACACTGCTGTTCATTTGGAGGTTGTGTATCGCAATTCAAATTTGAATCAACTACGCACTCTAAAGGGGCGTGTAACGCGCCCCTTTAGAGCGCGCTGCTGACTCTTGACATGGGACGCAGTGAGCTCGCATGGTCTCCATAACCTAGGTTATTTGACAATGCGGTCTCACTGCGTCCCACGAGTCAAGAGTCAGCAGCGCGCTCTAAAGGGGCGCGTTACACGCCCCTTTAGAGTGCGCAGTTGATCCAAATTTGAATTGCGATACACAACCTCCAAATGAACAGCAGTGTACCTTCTTTTCTCTCAGTGTAGATATCAAAATGCAATTTTTAAATATATTCGTCAAAAGAATTGAAAGAATATTATTTCCAAAAAGTAATTCAATTATTTTGAATATACTTAATTTTAATAAAATTCTTTAAAGAAATTCAATTATTTTCGAAACAACTTTAATTGAATTTTTTGAAAAAATTTCATGATTTTTAAATATTTCTATAAAATTCTTCATAACAATTTAATTATTTCTTAAAATTTTAATAAATTCTTCAAAACCTTTCAATTATTTTGATAAATAGTAAAGTTCTTCGCAAGAAATCAATTATTTTCAATACAATTTTAATAAAATTCTTCTTCATAAAATGCAATTGCTTTCGAAATTTTCAATTAAAATTATTAAAGAAACTCCATTAGTTAGTTTAAAAAAAATTCAAAGAAATTTTTCAAAAGAATTTAATTAGGATTTTTAAAAATATTAATAAAATTCTTCGCGAGAATTTAGTTATTTTTCTAAATAAAGAAATTCTTTGAAGGAATTCTATTATTATCAAATTTTTTAATAAAATTCTTTGCAACAATTCGAAGATTTTCAATACATTAATTTTAAAATTGAAAATATTTGAAAAGAAAAATTAAAAAAAATTAAAAACAAAAATGTAAACAACAACTAACTTCAAACTGCGAATAAGTTACCGAAACATGTACTTTTTTATTATTAATTTATAAATATTATTTTTAACTGAAATGTTTTGACATTTTTTTTAATAATAAAAATATTAATTTATGAATGTTTAAAGTAGGTTATTATTATTAAACAATTTATTTATTTGCCGTAGTGTATTAGTGTCAATAAATGCTTTATTAAATCACCAAAACTAATAACTCAACAAGTCACTGAAAATAAAGCGTCTGTGTTCAGTTAGGTTCCGTAGCATAGTGGTTAGGGCGTTAGTTTCGTAGTCCGTAGTTCGTAGGTCGTAGGTTCAAGTCTCGCGTGCGTTAGATTTTATTTATTTGGTAGGTTTGCGTTTATTCCTATTTTTCTGTATTGTATAGTTATAAGTATGCAATTTAATGATTATATACACCGTTAAATAATTTAATTAACAAATATTTAATTTAAAAAATTTTTTTTTTGTATATAAATAGATATGTATTAATCCTCACATATATACTAACATTATTTATACATTCGCTATTGGTAACGATTAAATTAAAAAAAAGTAAAAATCATTAAATAATAATGCCATTTATTAATAATTAAAGTTATTATAAAAATTAGTTAAAAATGATCTCAAATATGCTATGAGCAGTTTTTCTAGGGTTTTGGGAGAGGAAAGAATTCTGTAAGTAAGGGTCAAGCAGTATTTAATAAGGTTCTAGGAACACCTGCTTTACTCCTTTTACCATCTAAATTTGTCGCTAACCAGGGGTTTGCAGGAGGTAATCAGAGTTAGCTTGCAATGCAAATAAACTCTGCTTTCATCCTATTACATCCTTACAAACCCTCAGTTTTAAGGAGGTAAGCAGGTCTAAAAGTTCGACTCGGGTAGTATAGTAATACAATGTATGATTCTCTTAACTTATCTCCTATTCATTCCACAGCGAAGTCAGGGAACATTCCAAGTGCATCTACCCCTTCCTCTTCTTTGGAGCCTACAAATTAAAATTTAACAACTCTACACAATCTTGACGTTTCCATTCCCGGCAACTAACAATCATAGCCACAACTCCAAACGAACAAGAGAATCGTCCGACATGCTAGCTGGTCTGAAAAGTCGAAGAACGACTTCTTTTCACAAAACTCTTGCAAACGCGTTCGTGAATCAAAGTCACAACTGGGTTCTAAGGGTGAGTCTACATCTTTTGATCCCTATTCCAAAAATTCTTCCCTTAATAAAACCTTTTCACGGCAAGTAACTTTAACAATCCCATCAGATAATAATAATAATAATTTAGAATGGCAATCCTCCTCAATCACTTCCAAAACAAGCTTAAGATATTCTCAATCCATGAATCAACCATTCATAGTAATCCTCCAGTTTGATTCCAAGCAGGATCCATCTGTGAACATCGGCCGTTACAATCCGATTGCTCTCGCAAAAAAATCAGAGCAATTACTCCAGGCCCCTTAACGTTTTCTGCTAATGGCCAAAATAGCACTATTATAAGATTTGTGCAAATTATTCCGATGCAAACAAAATCTTTAAATACTACAACAATAAGAATTAACCATACCTTGCATTTCCTGAAATATCTTTATTTTATAAAAAGGGTTTCATCAAAAACATCGATACTAAATTACGCTCCTGGAACTACACGAAAATATGGACGTTTTATTAAAACCAGTAATCCTTTCTCTTAAAAGGCGAGTTAACCCAGGAAACGTTCTTACTGATATTGTTGAAATCACCTTTAACTCTCCAACCATTCCTAGATTTATCAGTTTATTTAACTATCTCTTTTCTGTCACACTTATGATTCCCCCTCCTAAGAGGTGTCATTATTGTCAACGTTTTCGCCATACAGCCGATCAATGCCGTTCTGCTTACCCAATTTGTGAATTTTCCTCTCAACATTACATCACAATCAAATGCTCTAATCGATTACTCCAGCCCAAATGTAACAATTGTCGCGATTCTCACATGGCTTCTTCTCATGATTGTCCACGTTACAAATTTGAATTTGAATTATCAAAAATTTGTTATATTCAAAATCTTGTCTACCAAGAAGGCACTGATGTTTTAAATTCAAGAGGCATTCTCTCCCCAAATTCTCCACTCAACTCTCCACAATCAAAGGATTCATCATCATCATCATCATCATCATCGAAATCTTCACCTTCCCCTGTTCTTGACTCCATGCTCGCTCCCCCTCTTCCAGCTCAATTTCCTCCTCCAACAATTCCATCAGCATCTTCCTCTTAATTTTTTCTTGACCCCCTCCTAATCTCCAATCTTTTCCAACATCAACTCCAAAACAATCTTCTAATGAACTTTCTAATTCACAACACATCGATAAAAATCCTAAACAAGAACATCGAAAATTCTTAAACTCAATCGTTGATAACATCCAGACTAAGCTCTCCTTTATCGAAAAATCATTCGAAGAAACAAACATTTCATCTGACATATCAATGAGGCAAATCGATGATAAAAAGAATGATTAAATTTTCTATTAAAGTATTAACCCTCTTCCCTTTTTTACATTACAATACATTTATTTAATTTTAGCAGTTAATAATATTTAAACCCCAATTAATTTTTAACTACTATTTTACATAATAAACTCCAGAAAACTGTTAGGTAAAAGTTAGCACATAGTATGTCCAATTACACAATCAAAATCCATCTTTACACATGGATGTAAAGACATATAGGTAAAAACATACAGTCGACCTATGTGCGATTTCACCTTTTATGTTTCTTTTCCCTTTCTTAAATAAATCTCAATTAATTAACCTTTAAACAATGCATGACAATATTATTAATTCTTTCGCATGCATCAGTTCGCATCCATCTCTTTCAACCCTTCAGAGTTGCTATGCTGTCTCATTCCTAATGTGAACGAACTTTCAATCATAGTTTCATGCCATTGTTTTTCCCTAACTGTCTTATCCTTAATTCTGAATTCACAATAAATCGAAATTCCTCTCCGGTGTAGTCCTCTTTTTTATTCTATACTATTTTTGTTTTTGATTTCACTCTTTGCCTTCAACAACATGCTTGACCAATCCCTCCCTCTCTCTAGCTTCCCGCTATCTAAAAATCTGCTCCTGGAATCCTAGAAGCATTCTGAACAAACGTATAGAACTCGAAACTCTCATCATGAATCATAATCCTGACACTATATGCCTGTCTGAATCATGGTTGACTACAGAGACTCCTTCATAGGAAATCAAGGGTTTCACCACCTTTCGTTTTGACAGACATTACGGTAGAGGCGGAGGTTCAACAATCCTATGCAGGAAAGAACTCATCACCTCGAGAGTCGATCTTGGAGATTGGTGGAATGAATTTTTTGAGTTGTGTTCTGTTGGCATTGAAACTACTAACGGTATATTCCTCCCAATAATCGAATTGATATGGATATTTGGAACAGACTGTTCATACAACTTTCTCAATTCCCACACATAATCATCACAGGTGACTTCAATTCACACTCCCCAGTCTGGGGACATTCAACATACAATTATAATGGTTCGAATCTCAGAGTCTCTATCCGATTTTGATTTCGTCGTCATGAACGACGATACCCCCACTTACTGCAACATCCATTCTGGCATTCCATTTCTGGCAGTGTGCTGAACCTGGTCATTGCCTCTACATCACTCGTCAACAATTTAGATGTTAGTGTTTTAAATGACACCTTTTCCTCTGACCATTATCCTCTAATATCCACACAGACCTTTAGACCAAAATATTCGATATCTAACAGCACTAGATACAACTTATCCAAAATAAACTAGGAACTCTTCCATTTCAAAATAAATCGCGTCGCTATTGACATCTTGAACGACATTGAAAATAAATCCATCCTTCCTGATATCCAAATTTACTCTAAACTAATTGAGAAGATTAAGGAATCTGTTATTGATTCTAGAGATTTCAAGCCTACCAACAGAGGTCGAAAGCCTGGTAAATCCAAACCAGTATGGTGGATTGATGAATGCTCCACAGCAGTTGAAAGGTGATCCACAGCACAAAAATTGTATTTCCAGAAACAATCTCAAGAAGCTTTAACCCAGTACCTCCAAATTGACAATGAAATAAATAATTTCCTTCGCAACCAAAAACGTAACTCTTATAAACAATTTTGCTCCACTATTAACCCTTCTATGGGACTTAAAAAAATCTGGAACATAATCAAGGGATTCCAAACAGCTAAGGCTGGAGTCCCATGATAGCGTTTTGCGTTGCGTTTTGTAACTAGGCCATGAGTGTGAGAGAGATACAGATATATGTTGTCTATATTTGCACTCATGGCCTAGTTGCAAAACGCAACGCAAAACGGTTCAATGGGACTTCACCCTAACTCTGCCAAATCCACTAGTATTTACAACAACCCTAACCTTCCTGAAATTGTCTCTCTCCAACAAGAACTTGTAAATCCAAACATTCCTGTAATTGAAATCCCATATGACTACAATCTAAACGAACAGGACCCTTTAAATGATCCCTTCTCAACAAATGAATACCATTTCGCTTTATCTCGATGCAAAAAAGATACTGCTCCCGGTATGGATTCTATTGGATACTCTATAGTCAAAAAACTTTCCACATCCTGTCACAATCTTCTACTAAAAATTTTCAATTATCTCTTTAAAAATAGCATCTTTCTGGAATCATGGAGAGATAATTTGATTTTATTTATTCCATAACCCGAAGGTCAAAGCATTCGACCCATCTCCCTTTCCTCCAACATTTCCAAACTATTTGAACGCCTAATTCACCGCAGACTCGAATATATTGCTGAAAATAAAGACTGGTTCTCTCCTTTTCAATATGCATCCTGTAAAGCCAGATCCTCTTCAGACTGTGCAGCAGTCGCTTACACGGATATCCTGTTGAATTTTGAAAGAAATGAATCAGTCCTAGCTGTATCCCTCGACATAAAAGGTGCATATAACTGTGTCCGTCACGACCAACTTATTTACCAACAGCAAATCCTTAACACTCCCTCTCGTATACTAAATTTCATCAATTTTATGACTACTACCCGCAATCTAAATATTTCTCACCCAACGATTCCGATCCAAATAAAACTCATGTACACGGAAAAAAAATCAGCCTAATAATGCATGGAGTCTATTGGTTCGATTTTTACATGAGCCCATTTTGCAAATATCACACAGGAGTTTACCTAAAATGCATGGCTTTTGTGACTTTTGCCACAGCACCATGCGAAAATAGGATGGATTCCAAGCTAATCACGCATGGTAGTGTGCGTGCAATAGACACAACAGACGCTCATGTGTTTTTAGCCTAGTATTTTTTTCCGTGTAGGCGTCCCGTAGGGTGCTGTTCTGTCTCCCTTCCTATATAATGTCTACACAAACCAAATTATGCAACATCTAAATCCTAACACCAAAGCTACTATTTATGTAAATGACATCTTTCTCTATACCTCTAACAAAGACATCAACGAAGGAATTACTAAACTAAATGCATCTATTACTAAGATCACTACATGGTTATCCAATCTAGGTCTTAACATTTCCATTCCTAAGTGCAATTTTTGCATCTTCTCCAAATCAAAAATCGATACAACGGTGTTCTTAATTCAAATTAATAACCAAATGATTCCTTGTGACAACGAAATTAAATATTTGTGAATAATTTTTGTTTCTCAACTCACGTGGAAATCTCACATCCTTTCCATCTCGACTAAAGCTATCAACACCCTCAAAGCCTTATCCAAAATCACATGGGGTGCTTCCTCAGAAACTCTCCTTATGGCATTTAAGGGTTTATTCAGGGCATTGTTAGAATGGGGCTCCATTTTTTTCTGGTGCTGACAAATATCTTCTCGACAAATTAGACAAAATACAATACTCCGCCTTAAAAGTAATTACAGGATGTATGTCTTCCACTCCTATCTATTTCCTACTTGGGTGATTCTCCACGTAGCGCACGATTTAGTTATTACTATTACTGATTTTTTTCAAATTGAGTAAAAGTCAATATAGAATCTTCAAATTTAGTGTTTATAAATGAAATATCAGTGGTGGGCCGGACAAAATATTTATAATTTTTCTATTTTTTAAACAAATAATTTTTATATATAAAGCTGTATATGGGTGATTCTCCTGAAAGTGGGCAATTTCATGTCTTCGAATTATATCTTCTAAACAACTTAACATTTAAATATTAACATTGGACAAACATATTATTTAAACTTTACTTATTATACCCTTTATAAAAAACGATAATTTTTTAACACAAATTTAGTGGAAAACAGCAATTCAATATGTCTTTACCTCTGAGTACCAAACCTTAAAGTACTATTACTTATAAAAAAAGAACTATCTTTAATTATTCAATAAATATTATAAAAGATTAACTCAAAAGCTTCAATTTTTATCGATGAAATTTTTTAATACATCAATATAGTTATTGATAATTATTAAAATATAAGTGTCTTTAAAAATCTCTATGCTTGTTGACGATGAAACCCTAAGAACAATTCCATAGAAAAAGTATGGAAGGGGAAAAGAAGAAATGAGAGGAAAGGGAGGTAATAAATTGTGCAGTAGTAACGAGTTATGACTCGACCAGAAAGGGTCACGAGAAATTGTAATCGCGAGTGAAGCCTGACTTAGAAGAGGCGAAAATTTGTCGATCGAAAAATACTCCTGAAAGTAAATAGGAGGCTCACCGAGTGACCTGAATTTGAATAGGCACATCTGTTTAGTTCCTCAATTTTTATTGTTAATTGGATGAAGAAATAGTCTGAATTTGAATAGGCTTTGTAATCTTTGTTCAAATGTTTCGTTCGAGTTAATCTGACATCACGAGTAAGTTTTTATTTTCAATTAAATTAGGTAATTAGCGAGTTCTCTCTGTTCTCATATTTTTTTGTTCTTCTAACATGCAATAATCAAAAAATGTTTATAATTCGTCAAAGTTCGTTAAATCAAGATTAAATGTACTAAATAAAACTTAGTTGTTATTGTGTTGAATAAAGATAATATTATTTTCATTGATATTATACGTGAATTTATTGGTCCAACCCCCCCCCCCCTTTATAAATATTAATCCCGGTGAGTAACAAAATAGTGGAGGCGTCGGGTAATTAATTAAAAGATTTGAAAAATAATAATTGAGACGTATACTAATTAAATAGCCCCCATTCAAGAAATGTTGTCTTTACGTCTATGTCGTGTTGTGACCTTATAAGCCTGGTGACGATCAACACATAAACAATGATACGAACAGAGAGAACTCCAGGTAGAATTTTCTGAAAAATTATTTGAGTGGAAATTATCTTATTATTTCCTTTTCTATTTATCGAATATACTTAATTTCTCTCGAAATATAAATATAATAATATCACTGTGTTAACAAAAAAAAATACGAGACGAAACGTTTCCTTCTAGAAAAAAAATATGCCGCGTGAAAGGAGAAGGGGAAGGCCGAGAGTAGTTAGAGGGGGAATGGAACGCGAGATTTCTCAACACAGAAGCGTTCAAACATCTCATCATACACCAAATGCAGAACGAATGAACCCTGACGCGGAGACGATGACTGTATCGAGGAATTCTTCTAGTTTTTCAAGTAGACGGGGAAATCAAAGTAATCGCGATGTCAGGGATCGATCGATAGTTAATAGTCATCACAGCGAAGAAGAGACAGTAAGTTATGTCTCATCGGTAAGGAGAGCGGAATTGGAAGCACGGGCTGCGCAAAGGCGATTCGAGATCCAATCTAGGATGTTAGAGGATAGGACACGTTTAGAATTGGAAATGGTAAATGAACAATTAGCGAGAGATTTAGCAAATAACGGCGAGGAAGATCTTCGGTCAATAATAACGCGTCGGTCGGAGTCTCGGCGTGTAAACATGGGTCGCAACGCGGAGGATATTCAGGCTTGGTTAAACAGTGAAAGGGGCGAGCAAAATTTATCACCACGAAATGCCGACATGACACACTTTAATCGAAACGAAAATGTCGCGAGATCGTTAACAGGAGCGGGAAACTATCCTGATGAAACTACGAATGTAACTCAACGTTTATTGCAAAGAGCAACAGTAGTAAAGCGATTACCCGTATTTGAAGGAGACGTGCTTGAATGGCCATGTTTTAAGCGCGCATTTTATGAAACCTCTAGGGTGGGGGGATTTTCAGAAGAAGAAAATCTCATGCGTTTATACGAAAGTTTAAAAGGGACGGCGAAAGAAGCCGTAGCGTCTCTTATGGTGACTTCGCGAGATTCAAAGCAGATAATGAACCTATTAGAATTGCGATTCGGTAATGCGAATGCGATAGCCGGGCGCATCGTTCAAGACATTAAATCATTACCCAAAATTTTTACAACAACGGAGATCTGATTATTTTCGCGACTAAAGTAAAAAACTGTGTAGCTGCACTACAAGCAGCCAATAATATCGGGTATCTACACAGCAACGATTTGATAAGAGAAATAACGCAGAAATTACCGTACGCCATGATATATAATTATAACCGATATTTAAACGATCATGGGAAGTCAGGCGAGCCCGCTTTAGTAACCCAGTCAAATTTTTTATTTTATGAAGCCGAAATTGCGTGTAAAGCCGGAACCTTCGACATGTCTTGTAGTACGTCTCAAAATAAACGCGATTCAATCACGCAATTGAAGGACCGTAATCCTGGAAATAGAAGAGATGATTCACGGGGAATCAAACGATCGCATCAACGACAAGAGAAAGTCTTCGGGACCTCTAAGAATGATGAAAAAGAAACACTTGCGCCAAAAAGAAAAAAGAATAACGAAATATGTTGTTACTGTAACCTAGAGCCACACGATATAGGAGATTGCGGGCGGTTTATGAACTTGTCGATTACGGATCGCTGGAATTGGGCGAAAGAAAATAAAATGTGTTTCAAATGTTTAAAAGTTTCTGATCATCATCAAAATAATTGCTCAGAAGCACCTTGCGGAATCGAGGAATGCTCGCAAAAACATCATCGATCATTACATCGATACCAAGCGAAAGAAAAAAGGATCGCACGCAGTGAAACAACTAACATAATAAATAAACACGCAGAATCACATAATCTTCAGAGCGAAGAATTATGACAGATCGAAAACACAAAAGTATTACTAAAAGTAGTCCCCGTCAAAATCTATGGACCGACAAATGATGCAGTAGTTTTTGCATTTATGGACGAAGGGTCGACAATCACGTTAATCGATGCAAAAACAGCAGGATCTTTAGGCATCAAAGGTCCTTGCGTTCCATTGAGTTTAAATTGTATTAAGAACGTAGAGGCTAGAGATGAGAATAGTCAGACAGTGAGTTTCGGAATAAGTGCATTAGATAGCAACACAATATGTAGAATTTCACGCGCTTCCACAATAAAAGACTTAAATCTTTTTTCGCAGTCAATAACAGAAGAAGATATAAAAAAATATAAGCATTTATCTTCGATTCTTCTCGAATACTACGCGAACGCTAAACCATTAATATTGATCGGCCAAGACCATTGGGACTTAATCACCGCCACTCAAAAACGCTACACCACACGAAATCACCCTATAGCTTCACTTACGCGATTAGGTTGGGTCGTTCATGGACGGATATCTACTAGACAAGCTGAGAAGGAAGAAAGGAATTTATTCATAACAAAGGAATCAAAAGGAACTGATTGGGATCCAGTGTCTGACGCAGATCTAAATAAATTAATCAAATTTCACTTTACATTCGACAGTATAGGAATCACGAACTTTCAGAGGAAAAACAAAATGGAAGAAAAAGCAGAGCAGATATTAAATAATACGACCACTTTCAAAAATGGACATTGGGAAGTAGGTTTGATATGGAAAACTGATGGCATAAAATTGCCTAACAACCGAGAAAATGCTTTGAGCCGCCTAAAATCATTGGAAAAGAAAATGGATAAGGACGATGAGTTCAAAGAAAAATATTGTGCATTAGTTGAACACCTACTTTCATCTGGGTATGCAAGAAAGTTGTCAAAGGTGCCCGATGATAATCCAAGAACGTGGTACTTACCTCATTTCGGAGCGATTCAAGCAAACAAGCCGAAGAAAATTCGCCTCGTTTTCGACGGGGCTGCTAAAACCAAGGGGACCAGTTTAAACGAAAATCTTCTAACTGGACCAGATTGGACGAATTCTCTTCTAGGAGTATTAATTCGATTTTGACAAAAAAGGGTTGCTGTAATAGGTGACATCCGCGAAATGTTCCTACAAATTAGGATCCGAAAGGAAGATCGATGCGCACAAATGTTTCTATGGCGAGAAATAGATAGGGATAGAGATCCTGACACTTATGAAATGATTTCGATGATATTCGGTTCAGCATCTTCCCCTTTTACAGCTTAGTATATAATGCGTAAAAATGCACTAAATTTTCAATCAGTTCATCCAACTGCGGTTAAGGCGATATTAAATAATCACTACGTCGATGATTATTTAGACAGCTTCGACGACGTAGAAGAGGGTATTAACTGCATTACGAACGTCTCACTTATCCAAGGAAAATGTGGATTCGAAATTAGAAACTGGTGCAGTAATAGCAGTTCAGTAATTCGTGATTTACCTGCGAGTTCTCGAAAAGAAAGACCTATAGATCTCACCTCAAATGAAATTATGATTGAAAAAACCTTGGGGTTGCAATGGAATTGCTCGACGGACACGATTTCATTTGGATTTAACTGGAATAAGATACCTAAAGATATCAAAAGGAACAAACCACCAACGAAGAGTGAAATGTTACGCATACAAATGTCGATATTTGATCCGTTGGGCATGATATTACCGTTCACAATACAAGGAAAAATACTACTACAAGACGTCTGGCGCAGTGGAATCGGTTGGGACGACAACTTGAAGGATCGAGAATTTACAGTATGGACCAAATGGATACTGGACTTGAATGGAATAAAACAACACCACATTCCAAGAGCTTACAGCACAGCAAAAAGCGTCGAAAGAAGTTCAGAACTCCATATATTCAGCGACGCCAGTGACAAAGCATACGCTGCGGTAGGTTACCTACGAACACGTGATGGGATAAATAACGTGACAATCTCCTTCGTTGCTGGAAAAGCCAAAGTAGCTCCGTTGAAACCAGTCTCAATCCCTCGCATGGAACTGCAAGGCGCGTTACTTGCTAGCCGTTTGGGAGATACGATCATAAATGAACTCAACATAAAAATTGAAAGACGAATTTTCTGGACGGATTCACGCACAGTGTTAGGCTGGATACAATCGGACCCTCGAAAATATCATTCATTTGTCGCACACCGTCTTGGGGAAATAGACGAATTAACGAACGCTGAGGAATGGAACTGGATATCTGGAAAGCATAACCCCGCCGATTGTGCTACGAAAGAAGCTGACAAGACAGAAAATTTAATGAAGATATGGTTAGAGGGACCTGAATTTCTGAAATCTGAGGAACACAATTGGCCGAAGCAAACACAGAAGAGTACTATAAACCCGCCCACCGAAGAAATAAAAAAGGAATTTGTAGCAGCCATATCTACAAAAAACCTTATCGAGTCACCAAAAATGACAAATTTTAGCAAATTACTGCGTCTAATTCGCAGTACAACAGCCGAAATTTGGAAGCGCAACAGGACAAGAGAATTAACAGCTGAAGACTTGATACGAGCCGAGAATCATTTGATCAGAAAGGTCTAGAAGGAATGCTTCGCCGAGGAAATTAAAAACATCCGCAAGGGGAAAACTCCACCTAAAAACAGTCGAATCAAAAATTTAAATCCATTTATTGGAGAAGACGAAATTTTAAAAATAGATGGAAGATTAAATCACATTGAAGGAATTCCAGAAAACGTAAAAAATCCGATAATTTTAGACGGAAAACACCATTTCGCGAAACTCATCATCCAAGATTATCACGAACGGTTTCATCATGGATCTCTGGAATCCGTGATAAATGAACTAAAGCAGAAATTTTGGATTATTAAAATTCGTCCTACAGTAAGAAATGTGACTTCTCGTTGTCAAGTCTGTCGTATTCTATCCACAAAAGCAGAACAACCACGCATGGGAGACGTTCCACAAGCTAGAGTTGGTCATCACCGACGACCATTCACCTTTTGTGGCCTTGACTATTTTGGTCCGATGTATGTCACAATAGGACGAAGACGCGAAAAACGTTGGCGAGCACTATTCACTTGCTTGACGACGCGTGCTGTTCATCTCGAACTTGTGTCGTCATTAACGGCAGATTCTGCAATCATGGCTCTGCAAAGGATGAGTAACCGTCGAGGAGTACCATCTGAAATTTTTTCTGACAACGGTACTAACTTCACAGCGGCAGATCAGGAATTAAAAAACGCCATTGAAGAAATCGATAAGAATAAGTTTCGAGAGAAATTGACAAATAAGAAAATAAAGTGGCAATTCATTCCACCACATTCACCTCATATGGGTGGAAGTTGGGAACGCTTGGTTCGAAGCGTCAAAAGATCTCTTGCAGCAATCCTAAAAGATCGAGCTCCAAGAGAGGAAACATTGACCACCTTTCTTACCGAGGTAGAAAATACTGTAAACAGTAGACCATTAACTAACGTGTCAGTAAACCCAAGAGATCCGGAATCCTTAACTCCAAATCATCTGTTGATGGGCTCATCCTCTGGCTCGATAATGTGCAGAACATTTTCTTCAGACGACTTAAATTGTCGTAAACAATAGAGGATATCTCAACGACTAGCGGATATGTTTTGGTCAAGGTGGATGAAAGAATATATCCCTAGCTTGGTTGTAAGAAAATGTTGGAACTGCGAAACTAGAAATCTGATAGTAGGAGATATAGTCCTAATTGCTGATTCGAACATGCCTAGAAACACGTGGCCAAGGGGCAAGATAACAAAAGTACTTCCTGGAAAGGATAAAAGGGTCAGAGTGGTGGAAGTACTTTCAAGAGGAAAAATCATCAAAAGGGCAGCGAATAAAATGGTTGTTCTCGTGCCTATGGATTTAGGTACAGAAGCGCAACACTTCCGTACCGGGGAGGAGGATGTTGACGATGAAACCCTAAGAACAATTCCATAGAAAAAGTATGGAAGGCGAAAAGAAGAAATGAGAGGAAAGGGAGGTAATAAATTGGGCAGTAGTAACGAGTTACGACTCGACCAGAAAGGGTCACGAGAAATTGTAATCGTGAGTGAAGCCTGACTTAGAAGAGGCGAAAATTTGTCGATCGAAAAATACTCCTGAAAGTGAATAGGAGGCTCACCGAGTGACCTGAATTTGAATAGGTACATCTGTTTAGTTCCTCAATTTTTATTGTTAATTGGATGAAGAAATAGCCTGAATTTGAATAGGCTTTGTAATCTTTGTTCAAATGTTTCGTTCGAGTTAATCTGACATCACGAGTAAGTTTTTATTTTCAATTAAATTAGGTAATTAGCGAGTTCTCTCTGTTCTCATATTTTTTTGTTCTTCAAACATGCAATAATCAAAAAATGTTTATAATTCGTCAAAGTTCATATTTTTAAGAAAAAACACTAGAAAAACACTGCGTATTTTTATTCATTCCTTTGTCGTGCGCTGTCATAACTTTAATATTTCAATATAAATATCAATAAAAAACGGATGAAAACTTACAGTTTGATAGGACAAAAGTGTATACCTAGCCATTTTTTTTATTTACTTTTGTTTAAAATATGTATTAATGCATTTCGTACAAATTTCCATTGTCGTGGAGTCCTTTGTCGTGTCAAAACATTTGCACGTGGTAGGTGCGAAACAAGTAAAAAGTGTGCCTGTGCCAAAAACTTTTTTTAAAATGGGTAATAAAGTTGAAATTTTTCTAATCTTTTCATATATTTTTAAATATAATTTTAAAAATGATAAAAATAAATCATTTAATTCAATTAATAATAACTATATAGAAGAAATATGAATTTCAGTGCCACTCGATGATACGCCTCTGATGAGGTTAGTTTTCCTGTTTACTTTTCACATCTCATTTCAATTACGCGAAAAGTGCTACTTACACGAAAACTAATGTTTATTAATAAATGTAATTTAAAATAAATATAGTTGATATGGATTGTATAACATAAAAGAATAATTAAACAAACAGAAAAAAGCATATGTCGAAAAAGAGCGACGTGAAAAAATTCAAAATGATATCCTGGTGAAATTTTAATATTTTTAAACTTTAAATAGTTTTGTAGCGTACCTACTTCAAATATAGTTTATTTAAATACCAATGAATAGTAATTAATAAAAGAAAGTTCAATTTTTAAACATTAAAAAAAAAATTTTATCAACTTAAAAGTGACCGGTTTTTGGAGAATCACCCATATACTTTGCGGCAATACTATCCAGCCATGGTAAAATGAAAGCACCTGTTATATTTACAGGCAAATTAAATAATAATTATCTGTATGTTATTTTAGAAATTACAATTGTTTAACAATTATTGCTTCACTCTGTTGTTACACGCTGTTCAATACAGAAAAGCTGTACCATGACAAGAAGGCCAGACCATGACGCTCAAGAAAAAATGATTTTTTAAACAATTTATTAGCGATTTTCATTCTGTTTCATATTTAAGTCATTTATATTCACTGATCTAATACTACTACACTTTAATTGACGTAAAATATAAATAATTATTAATTTTATTGGAAAGTATGTGAAGGCCAGACCATGACGATTCTGTGATCCCCTATGCAAGTTTAGTGCTTTTAATGTCTAAAAAACAAAACAATTAATTCTCAAATTAGTTTCTCTCTTATTAATTTACTTAGGAGAATTTGTTGTTGCGTTTTACTAATATTGAGTAAAGTTTCGATTTGATTTTTATGTAAATAATACAATTTTATAAACAGGCCAGACCATGACGCGAAAACGAGGGACAAGAATTAACATCAAAAAAAATTTTTTTAAATAAATTTTTTTCGCATGTTTTTTGTTTTTTACAATTCTACGAACATAAACAATACGAAACTATAAATAGTTTTTAGATTAATTACTGTATTTTATTAAAAATAAAAATTTTTTTTATATACATCGTACTGGGGACAGGCCATACCATGACGTTTTAGCACCTTAAAACAGCTTTTAAAGCTAAATTATAAATTTTTAAATGTAAACGACTATTGGCTTTTGTTTGTAAACACAGAAATTAGTTTTTCTCCTTGAATTCATTGCAATATTTGCAACTAATTTCTTAAAAAATACGAGGGACATTGAATTGTGCACTACGCGGAGAATCACCCACTTATAGAATCTGGTGAAATTCACCTTGAAATTAGACGAATCTATTTATCATCCAGATTTGTGATTAGAAACTACTCCTGGTCTCAAAATCCTCTTTACTCAAACCTTAAACCCCTTAAAACTCGCATCTCCAACCAACGAAAAGCTGTCAAACTTATTACAAAAACAGGCATTTAAAAGTCCTTCATTACTCTTAAAAAAATCAATTCCTGTCTTATTACAAAAAAACCTCTCTATTTTGACTCAGCATGGGAATCAACATTTCTTCCCATTACCATGAATGATGAAATTGGCCATGAAATAAAAAATTCCAATAATCCATCTGGAAAACTATCTCAATTTCTTAATTCCAACTTTCCAAACCACGTATACATATTCACGGATGGATCTTGCTTTCATAATACCAACAAAGCCGGTGCAGGATTCTAAATTCTTCAGAATGAATTCCGATTTGGCGTCCCTCTCTCTGGATTCATATCGTCAACCTTTGCTGAATTATCTGCTATCCACGCATCCATTAAATATGTAATTTCCAATAACATCCAGAACATTGTTATTATATCTGATTTTCTGTCTGCAATAAAACAAATATCTGACAGATCTTCTCTTACTCATAACGACTCGAAACTTCTCTTTAAAATTACTAACATGATCATAGATTTTCTTATTGCTCTCTCCATTCACCTTGTATGGATTCCTTCTCCTTCCAACATCCATGAGAACTCAGTTGAAGATCAACTCGCCAAAGTCGCTGCATCGTTGGACGTTCCTTCGAAGAAATTTGCCTCTGTTGGCGACGTTTTTTCATTGAGCAAAAAATTTATGTTCTCTCAATCAAGGGAGTTGTGGCCTTACAAGAATCATTCCGCGGCTGCTGACAGAATACTATCAAAAATTAACTACGAAACCAAAAGACCATGGTTCCGTGGAAAGGAAATCCCCAGACCAAATTCAAGTCTGATTTCGCGTCTTCGAATCAATCATATTTGCACTTCTGAACACTTCAGACGCATGAATTGGAATTTTCCCTGTGAATGCAGTTGTGGTCTGGATGAAAAATCTCTCTCACCTTTTAAACAATTGTCCAAGCCTCTCACCAGGCAGACTATCTTTTTTTAATTATCTTAATTCTTTAAACAATTTTTCTCTCCCCCCCTTGAAAATTTAGATAAATATATTTTCATTCTCACAAAAAAATTATCAATTGAATTCTACAAATATTTCTACCAAATTAATGGAAACTACGTTTAGGCAATTCTTAAGGTTTTTTTTAATATATATCAAATTTCATCCCACTTTTCAATATTCACTCTTACTATTTTTGTTTTGCCTTTGACATTAACCTTTTTTCCCCTATTTCAATCTCTCTTTTTTTAAATCTTTTCCTCGCTAAAAGTAAGACAAACATGCATTAATCTCCGTCTAAGGCTGAAATTCCATCA